AAATGTCTGTCTACTGTTTTCTTTAGAGTCATTTGCCCATTTATTTTCAATTTGAAGGAAATAGCGGACCCTCCGTCAAATAGTGGCCGATTCGTTTTCTCATGTTGACTTTTTATACATCACGGTTACTTACTTCAGCGACTTTAAATAATTTAAACGAGGCAGAAGTTTTGATGTAAAATTATTCTGCGCTGTGGAATGCTCGCTCTGGTCCGATCCTTTTCAGTCGAAACTGTACGCAGACGACGTTTTTCGACGGAATAATAGCGCATTAGACGATTAAACGAAGTTTGGTTGTTGTTCTCAACGCCTGGTTTAAAACGATTTAAGGAGATTCGCGTGAAATTTAAATGGAAAATTCCAACACCCGCAACGAACGAGCGAACAGATAATCGGTTAATACAAATACAATTTTCCCATCTACAAGGCGCATGGCTGTAACAATCGGCTTACGGTCAGCTTTCAAAAGAATACTCGTAACTTTTACTAGAGCCATGCTATTATTATCAGTATTATACTGTGTATGCGTGACTGAGTCTTTTGTCTCGCTTGAGCGACTTTCTCTCGTTACTTTTAGACTATGTTTTCTTCGATGCGTTAAGTCGTGCAAGCGAGCCAGTTTAACACAGGCTATAGTGACGCACTGTGCTTTGTGGAGCGTGGATCAGATTCAATATCGTTTAATTCAACGTAGTTGTTGTCATGTTTACGGCTAGTGTAATTGCTTAGTGCTTTAGAGTTGTCAAGAGCGCGCTCTCGTCCGATCGGTTTCCGTTACCGATCGGTGCACTTTTCAAGCTTAATATCCTCGTTTAGCGAAATTTGATCAATTCCCAGTCCAGACAAATTGCAGCCATTGTTTTTCCATCAAAGTATTTTTTTCCAAGGCAAATCTACATAGTTTAATGGTTGTTTAAATATTGAAATTTATCAGTGAAAATTACAACGACATACACCGATGAATATAGCTCTCTGACATTATGTTGCATATACACACACACATGCTGTATACGTACTAACCCGGTTACTACAACCACGAAATCCAACACGTTCCATCCGTTCCTGAGGTATGATTCGCTGTGTAGCACAAATCCCAGGGCTATAATTTTTAAAAGAGCTTCTAGGCAGAATATCGCTAATAAATATACTTCGGCGCTTTCCTGAAAGATAGGATAAATAGCAGCAAGCGTAAGTTATTTCTGTCCTTGTAGCGGCCTAGTCGTGACAGTTTCGCTCACTGCAGTGCGGTGTCGTTTCGCTGTTTTGTTAAGGAAGGATAAACTAGAAAAATTGTTACTTACTAGTTTAATGTTTCGGTCTGACTTGTCGTTTTCGGGCAAAGGAGTATTAGCGGCCAGTAAGATGCAATTGACAAAGATAGTCAGTAGAATAAAATATTCAAAAGGCTTGTCTTCAGTTAAGGAATATATCATACGAACATAAATTCACAGATAAGTCAAAAAATAAAATTATATGGAAAAAACTCTCCCACAATAGCGTCGAAGACTCACTAAATAGAGGACAGAAAAATTCCCCTCAGGTTTCAAAACACTCAACACTGACAAAGAATTTATCACGCACGCTCCACTTTGCCATAGACGACAACAAACTCCGACAACGCCAAGGCTAAAAAAACATTTTCTACTGATGTGCCCGTAACGGCTCAAAGGATACTTTAGATTCGACGATTCTCTTGCATTTTCTTCGAATGATATTTTCCTTTGAAAAGATGAAGAGTGAGCGATCGGAACATAGAAGTTGTGGTGTTCCTCTTCCAGCTTGTACAGAAGACTTGCGCGAATTATTCGAGTTGGCCATACGCGTTTTATAGAAGTCCTCTGAGGGAACCGAGGAAGGTCTTCGAGTGTCCGCCATTTCTCCTGCTTTAAGTTATTTTCTAGCCTCATTCAGGCGAAAATCTCACGCTACAGCCGGCTTGCGTGGCGCGCTCGTGCACGCGAAAGTTTGTTTCCAGCCATAAATTTAACCGCCTAGAAGCGATTCAATCATTCAGGTTTTGGGCTTCCTTCTCTTGCCTTGACACCGTATGCTAATTAGAAACCGAGTCTATAATCAAGTGGCCTATCAAAAGAGGCCGGCACTGGTGGGTCACGTGACAATGACTGGTACTTCGTTGGGTGTGAATACAGAATGAGAAACTACGCTTCGGTGTGATTTTCCTCGTTTCACCTGTTATACCCTGACAGACTCGGACAAAAACTTGCTTTTTCAGCAACAGCGGCGTAAAAAGACTTCAATTTGTTTTGGTTTAAAGACCAGTTAAACGAGACTTTTAAGGGATAATCTGTTGTATTCATTAAGAATGCTGTTGGCTCGGACAGTCCCCTCGGAAGACTCCCGCACAGTTCTAGGGTGGGCGGAATTTCAACCATAATTTGGTTCACGTTATTTCCCGTTTTGTAGCGGCAAATTATTAGTGTTGCATATTATCCTGTCAAGCCCGTGTCAGAGAGTTCAATCTCTTTCGTTCGAATGGCAGAGGTGGTTTTAAAGCAATCACTAACAAAGATCATTTTAGCATTGAACACCCACAACACAAACAGAAGCTTTATTTATATAAGATATAATTTACCAAGTGATGTTTCGAATCTATGTGTTCGCCCGAAAATTTGCGCACACATTCCTTAAAACGTTGTCTTCGTCTAATTTCATCTCTCATTGCTATAAATTCGTTTTTCTCGGATCTCTTTTGATTCAGTTCCTTTTTTTCTCCGCGTATTTAGCCCTCGCGAAAAATAACAGTGCATGGGGAAAATACCAACAAGTTCCGTCAGTTAAAGCTTAAGTAGGGTACGCGAGTGGTACTTGTACCAGCTCATGAGAAAACATCAACAAGTCGTTCGCTTTTTATTCGCTCTCATTAGGCCTCAGTGGACAGGTGATACCACCAGACTCCTCACAGGCTTCGAGTTTTCCAAACACATAAAGTTGTAATAGTACTTTTTAAGGCGCTGTGTCGACTAAAATGCCTAAATCAAAGAATATTTTTAACGTCCAAAATATACGTCGCTCTGTCGTGTTACATGTTTTCCCCTTCTTAAACTGAGTGGAACATCTCTCGAAGTTTTGCAATATTTATGCTTTCTTTCGAGATAAGGCTTGGTTTGGTATAATCGAATTACTTTGAACAAAATGTTTCCGAGAGTTTTACTCCTTCCCAACTTAAGCGACCGCTGTTCGCAGCAGTAACTTTGTTCGTCCCTAAATCTGTGCGCGTACTTTGTCGACATGAGAATAAAAGACAAGTTTGACGTTAGCTTTGTTAGTTTTAATTCATCTCTCTCTTGTCTTCTTTTAATTTAACCGGTATAAATTATGAATATGCTTTTCGACAGCTGTCGATTTGTCAACTTACAAACGAGATTTTTTTAGATTCTTCACACATTCGCTTCCGAGCCGTCCTTGCAAATGCTTTTTTTCCAGGCTACTTGCCGGAAATTGATTTTTCAAAATTTCTTTT